TATCACATGGGGGGGCTTGTAAGCCCCCCTATGTGATAGCAGTCAAAGTAAAGTTAAACAAAAAAAAAGTTTTTTAAATTCAAATTAAATCTAATAATAATTTTAAAAAAAAGTCCCCCGCCCCCGTGAGCACGCGCGTCGCCACGTAAACACGCGTCGGGTGCGCCTACGTATGAAAACGACGAACGCGCTACACATGTTGGGTATTGCCGCGCACGCCGGAGTGAGAGCAATAATTCTAGGACCAGTATTTTGGGGTATCTCTAAATTAATGACCTGTGGGGGCTTTTAAAGCATCTTCTATGGCTTTTTGGGGTACTGCAGTTTTCCGTCGTTTCACGGACGCACGCAATTTGTAACCTGGGCATGTTGGGTATCGATTTACTCGTTGTAACCTCATCTTTTATATTTCATTAAAAAAATGGGTATTTTGTTGTGTTTTGGGGCATTTAATTAAATTTTTCACTCAATGTCGGGGTTTAATAAGGAGTTGCGCTAATATTGCGCAACATAAAAATTTGCAACTACCACCATTTTATTCTATAGGGTCTTGGCATTTAGAAAATATATAATGTTTGGGGGTTTTAAGTAATTTTCAGGCCTAAAATGTGGAATATAACATGGGTGCAAAAAATGAAAAAAAGGCCTGTCATGAAGGGGTTAATTACCTGATCCCCGGTCCTGCTGGCTCCAAGATCGGTGCTTCTTCCTTCCGCTCTGAACGCCTAGAGAGCGGAGATCAGGTAGTTGAGGCTGCTTTACACTATACCCTAGATATAAACGAGCAGTGAATCGGTGCAGTGCTGGGTTGGCTCCTAGGAGGTAGGCATTACTGTGCCATATCATTAATATATCATCCACATATCTAGTATATAAGAAAAAACACATAGAAGAGCGCAACTACCTGAGATAATGATTAGATGCTGAGCAGCCTGCTGTGAATGGCTGAATAGTTGAAATAAAAATAGTTGGTGTGTAACTTATGGTTGTGATGTCATGAATAGGCACATACGCTCCCTGCAGTCCCGTGTGGTCAACGACGTTGGTCTGTGTATTACCGGACAGGAAGATCTAAACTATCCAGGATATCCCCAGGCCGCGTCCTCGGCTGGCCGGGCCGAGCCACGGCAACTGGAGCAGGAGAGAGAGAACTGTCCGGGAGCTGGAATCCGCACTGAACAGTGTATTGCCATGTGGTGTGCGGTGCGAATGCTGGAAGGTTCAGTGAGCGGTATTGGTCAGTGCTCGTGAGTCCGAGGGAGATGTGTTAAGGTTGTGAGGCACCCCAGTAGGATGAGTTAGCGGCTACGCGTTTCGAGGGTAACCCTCTGTCAGCCGCGGGAGAATGAATATCTTTTTAAAAAGACAGGGGGAGGAGTCAAGTCCGAATAGGTCCCGTGATAGGGTTAGACGCCAGGAGGCGGACCAACAGTCTCGAAGGCACTTTGGGGATGATTAGTCAAGAACTCTCACACTCGGTTTGTCATTCTGGGGCCCATATGTGTTCTTGTATTTTCTCTGTTGAACATGTTACATGGGGCTCCTCTCCCGGTTTTTTGAAGAGTCTACGCACACCATCTCCCACAAAGTCAGTAAGTGAGAGACTTGACCACATCACAGTTGTGCGCTTCCATGTATTTTTGTTTCATATCTAGTATATAACTTTGAAGTTGCACATCAATGTATTTAAAGCTTTTAATGAAAATTATGAAATTTTCTTATATTTAAAAAAAATGCATAGTTATATATATATATATATCTATATATATCTCTCTCT